TGTGATGTTTTTATCAGCTGTTTGGACTCTCATTCTGACGGCACCCATTCACTTGCAGTGAGACACTGATGCAATGCTACATTTCTACAAACCTGATGAAGAAACAAACTCATCCTGATCTGGGATGGATTGAGGGTGAGCACATTTTAATGTCTGGCTGAACTATTTCTTTAACAGCGGGACACACCATCAATCCACCTCTTACTCGTGGACTCTTATTATGCCTCACATCCCCAGTTCTTTACAACTTATAAGTCCTGTCTGTTACAGTATGTGTGCTAGCATTAGTACTGACAGCTACACTGTTAGTGTTAGAGGAGCATACAGTATGAATGTGAATGGAGACTGGACTGATGACTGATGAACTGATGAAATGATGAGATGCAGCACAGCAAAACATCCATGTTCAGTAGAAGACAAATGAATTCAGTTCTACTCCTGCAAAGCTAACTCTACAGTAAACGGCTGTTCTTCACCCACCTTCAATACTTTTCAAAAGTAAGTGATCGTTCTCATATTATGAGTGATAATATGGAATATGACGTTTTGCACAAAGTGCTGCTGTCGCTACAGAAAATATATTGTTTACTATATGCCAAAATACTAAGAAATTCATATACATTTTTAATAATAATAATAATAATAATAATAATTATTATTATTATACATTATTGCCATAATTTGTTCAATTATATAATAATAATATTAATAGTAGTAATAATATTAATTGATAAGCATTGATTATATTAATCATAATATTAAAAATAATAATGATAATTTATTGCAATATTTTATTAAATGATATAATAATAGTCATTAGTAGTAGTAGCAGCAGCAGCAGCATTATATAATTTAATACATTTTTACAATAATAATACAATTAATAATAATAATAGTTTAGTAAACGATACAGTAATAAACAATTAATATTAGTGGTAGTATCAGTATTACATAATTTAATAAATTACTGCTAAAATGTATTATTACTATTATAGTTGTTGTTAATATTAATAATAATAATTTATTGCAATAGCATAGTTATTTATACAATAATAACAATATTTTTTGTAGTAATTAATTAATTTTTATCCTAGTAATTATTATTATTATTATCATTATTATTAGTAGTAATAGTATATGATTTAACAAATTATTGTAATCATTTATATTTTTTAATAATAATAATAATAATAATAATAATAATAAATGATTGCAATATCAGTAAATAGTAATAATATAATAGTAATAACCGACTGTAATAATAGTAATAATTATCATCATTATTAGTAGCAGCAGCAGCAGTATTATATCATTTGATAAATTATTACAATAATGTATTATTATTATTGTCTTTCATATTCTTAATAATAGCAATAATAAATCTTAATAAATTATACACTAATAATAATAATAATAAAAGAACACCTTTCACTCAAATGACTACACTGTTCATATAATTTACAATAATAATAAAATCTAAAGCACAAGGATTTGCATTATACAGTAAGCTCTGTTACTGTACGCTGTCAGAAACTCAAGAAGGTGTTTCGGTAAAGAACAGCCACGACTAATCGATCAGAGAGACGAACCAAACCACACAGAGTCCAACTACAACACGAGGACAGTGATAATGCAGCTAGAACACAACAACAACAACAACACACATTAGAATGCTGTATTAACGAGTTAGCAGACTTATTTCTATTTACCTGGACCCACCAATAGAGCAGCATTAACGGCACTATGACTATGAGGAACACAGGGGTGAGGGCAGAGCATACGATCAGCACATTTACTGTGTACCAGAAAGTGCGCATCCAGATATCAATATTCTCGGGAATGACAGAGTCTATCGTGTCCACGTCTTTGCTGAAGCGGTTCAAGATTCGCCCCGAGGGGGTGGCCTCGAAAAAAGCCTGCGGGGCCCTCAGAACGGCGTGGAGCATGTGGAGGTGCGTGGCGTGGGCCGCCTTCAGCATGCTGCACGCACGACACAGTAAACAGCTGGCCAGAATCAGCGCACCTGTTGAAGGGGCAGCACACGGGTTAGTCTCCTATATATTCTCTCTCGCTCACCGCTGCTTCAGACAAGCACTACTGTACTGTACGTCCTCATCTAGGAGAGAAACAGACTCGGAAAGCAGGAGTGTTTCTGTTGCGCTTCTGAGAAATTCAGCATTGAAAAGAATATAACATTCACATTTTACATTAAAAAAAAATATGAAATTATATTTTGTAGCTTAGGTGTTCAAAGTCTCCTATATATTCTCTCTCGCTCACCGCTGCTTCAGACAAGCACTACTGTACTGTACGTCCTCATCTAGGAGAGAAACAGACTCGGAAAGCAGGAGTGTTTCTGCTGCGCTTCTGAGAAATTCAGCATTGAAAAGAATATAACATTCACATCTTACATTTAAAAAAATATGAAATTATATTTTGTAGCTTAGGTGTTCAAAAGCTTGCGGTTGGTAAGAAAGGATTTTAATTATTTTTATTTAATAAGGATGCATTCAATTGATAAAAAGTGACATTTATATTGTTACAGTAGATTTCTGTTTCAAATAAACGCTGATCTTTTGAACTTTCTGTTCATCTGTGAATCCTGAAAAATAAAATGCATCACAGTTTCCACAAAAATATTGTGCAGCACAACTGTTTTCAACATTGATAATAATCAGAAATGTTTCTAATAATCAGCATATTAGAATGATTTCTGAAGATCATGTGACACTGAAGACTGGAGGAATGATGCTGAAAATACAGCTGCACATCACAGGAATACATTACAGTTTAACAGATATTCATATAGAAAACAGATGTTTTACATTGTAATAATATTTCACAATTTTTATTGTATTTTTGATCAAATAAATGCAGCCTTGCTGAGCAGAAGAGACGTATTTCAGAAACATTAAAAAACCTTGCTGAACGCAAACTTCTGAACAGTAGTGTAGTTTCATCTGGGAAGAATTTGGGATGGATGGATATTTTTTTTTGAGAAAACAGTAATAATTGAGATATTACTCTGCAAAAAAATATATAATAATAATTAAATAATAAATAGATAAATAATAAATATCTATCTATATATAAAAATAAATTATAGGCAGATTTTATTTTATTTTTTACTTGTTTTAAACTATGAAAACCACAACGTAATTTTGCTTCTCAAGTAAATTAATCTTGATTTAAGAATGTTTAGATATTCACTGGAAAACGACAAAAATACTGAGTAGAAAGATCTAATTTGTGATAATAGCTAAGATAAGTAACTAAGAACTGTATGTAATCACTAGATTAATAACTCTACTAAAGCATTGCTCTCACCCATACAGAAAACATACATGCATCATTCAGTAACTCATAGTTAAATGAGTGGAGAAGTGTCTGTGTGTTTGCTGATCAGCAGAGGGTGCTGATGAAGCACAGCAGAGGACACACACTCCCAGAGTCCCGGTGAGTGTGTGTGTGTGTGTGTGTGTGTGTGTGTTTGAGTGTGTGTGTGTGTGTGAGTGTGTGTGTGTGTGTGTGGTGGTTTGTGCTCATCAATGAGTGTGAGTGTCAAAGCAGCAGAACTCCGTTGAGGAGGAACAGGAAGCAAGCTCTCGCATGAGACACGAGACAGACACGGCTTTGCTCAGGCTCTGTCAAAATCTGATCTTTAGGACCGAGTGTCTGCGTATGATAACATCAGATCTGTGTGTTCACACACTGTCACGCAGATACTAATCTACAAAGTGAAAACTTTTTTTTTTTTACCCCACTGACAGATATAGCAGAAAAAATATAATAATAATAATAATAATAATAATAATAAATAATTGCAGAAATGTAGTGAATTACATAATAATACAAATTATAATAATAAGAATAAAATTACTAGCCCGTTTTGGTTTCTGTAGTGCTAAACTTTAATTTTGATTCTGATTATTTACAAATCCTCACTTCATTCACATTTTAGTTATATATTCAATATTTTGTTGGCAATACAACATGAACCAACATATGGAATATTAGAATGTTTTTATCAAATATTTTATATTTTATTTTAAAAATTACATAAAACACTGCAAAAAAAAATTTTTTTTTTTTTCAAAATGATCAGTATTTCTGTCGCTTTCCAGTATAAATATCTGAAAATTCTTAAATCAAGATACATTTACATTGCAAAAGTCAGGACTTTAAGTCTTGTATCAAAATGCATCAAAATGAATTAAATTTCAGCTTAAACGTGAAAACATGAAAAAATGTAAAAGAAAAATCTAAAAAATGTAAGGCCAATGGGGTCAGAAAAATAAACTTAATTCAAAGTATAATAATATTAATAATAATAATTGCAGAAATGTAATGAATTACTTAATAATAATAATAATAATAAAATTACTGCAAAAATGTAGTGATTTATATAATAATAATAATAATAATAATAATAATAATACATTCTTACAAAAATTTAATTATTTAATAATAATAATAATAATATGGGGTCAGAAAAATAAACTTAATTCAAAGTAACTAGTTTATTTTGTTACCCCATTGACAGATAATTTTTCTTGAATAATAATAATAAAATTACTGTTAAAATTTAGTAAATTAAATAATAATAATAAATTATTGCAGAAACATAGTGAATTTATATAATAATAATAATAATAATAATAATATTAATAATAATAAATAATTGCAGAAATGTAATGAATTACTTAATAATAATAATAATAATAAAATTACTGCAAAAATGTAGTGATTTATATAATAATAATAATAATAATAATAATAATAATACATTCTTACAAAAATTTAATTATTTAATAATAATAATAATAATATGGGGTCAGAAAAATAAACTTAATTCAAAGTAACTAGTTTATTTTGTTACCCCATTGACAGATAATTTTTCTTGATTTAAGCTTAAACTCACTTAATTTTGATATATTAAAATGTAAAAAAAATTATAATAATTATATATATATGTCTCAAATTTACATACAATAACATTTTTCCTGAAGGATCTTAATAAACAAGTCCGTAATAACTTAAAATCATTGTCTACTTTAATTAAACGCAGAGATGTTTAAAAAAATAAGAAAATAATATTTATGCAGCGTATGAGCAAAAATGCGCTCTTGTGTGATTTTATAGTTATATTTATATATATTTCTAAACTGACAAAATAAATGCTAGAAATCTGAAGCAACCATTCAGTCTGAAACAAGTAAAAAACCAATGCTATATTTGACTAAGTGCATGAATATCAGATGTTCCCGCCGGTCTGAGCAAAGCCGTACAGTCAGACATACAGTATACAGGAGGAAATCACAGGGTTAGACTCTGATGAACCGTGCACACGCTCTAATACTCCTCGAAAGGGATCTGGAATGCAAACGTTATCCGCTTTCATCCAGAATCGTGTAGAGCTGCAACAAAAGGGAAAAATACCTGCACAAAGAAGTAAATCAAGGCCAGAGGGCCAATGACCAGCGCGAATATAGGAGTACTGAATATGATAACGATCATGGTGGACAGAGAGGCAAAGAAGGTGCCCAGGAACATCAGGACGGTGGATGGCAGGACCTCGTCGATCACGTAAATGTCCTTGGAGAAGCGGTTGATGATCCGGCCTATAGGAGTGGTGTCAAAGAAAGACTGGGGCGTGTGAAATTTGTTGTCCAGCAGGGTCTGATGCAGCTTGCGTGCGGCCTGGATTTTCCCCAGAGCCAGAGTAAAGGAGGAAAACATAACCAGGACGCCTGTGTTAGAGAGAGGGCACAGCGTCACTAGCAGTGCTGGGGAAACTTACTTTTAAAAGTGATGCATTACAATGTTCCGTTACTCCATAAAAAAGTAACTAATTACGTTACTTAGTTACTTTTTATGGAATGTAATGCGTTGCGTTACTTTTGTGTTACTTTTTAAATCTGGACAGGGCTTGCTTGTTTGATTTAAAATACAAAAGTTCTATTTTTGGCAAATATAAAAGCCTTTCACACCAAAAGTGAAATGAATAAGCCTCAGGCTGAAGGGAAAGTAATAGTACGTCCGTACAGTAGAACGCAGAAGAAGACATTTCAACACACTTCAGCAATAAACAAAGTCACACAAATGTTTGTCTAGAGTAATTTGTGCTTATTAGTACGGTTGAACTGGATCATCGAAGCTCAGAAGCAAATAGATTGGGATTAAATACATAAAGGATATTTGTGTTGTTTAACATTTAATTATTGCAGGTTTGCGTCATATTCTGAGTTGCATTATTTTTATTCATTTTGAGGAATACTGAATCTCTGTTTTTTTTTTTGTGAGTGAGATGAATTAATGCATATTCATATTTATTTTAGAACTACAGTAACATCTGATTTCTCTCAACATGCGGACAGGAGAGCTGCCAATCAATAAATTGGAAAAAAAAGTAACTTGCGTTACTTATTTGAAAAAGTAACTCAGATATTCTCTTGTCAATTAAAAAGTAATGCGTTACTTTACTAGTTACTTGAAAAAGTAATCTGATTACGTAACTCGCTACCCCCAACACTGATCGTTATGATTTCTCCTTTTAATTCCAGTGAGGCAGCATGTGTGCTTGGATTAACATTATGCTGTGTTTTCATGTTTGGGTGAACTGTGCCTCAGTTGTGATGTGAATGAAGTGTTCAGTCAGTGTCTGGCAGTATAACAGAGACTCTGGCTGTACCTTGTGAGATGCCCAGCGCGGCGTAGACCCCGACCCTCATGTGCACTCTGTCCTGCGTGCGGTTGAGCAGCGCGTCGTTCGTCCACTCGCTCAGCCAGACGTTGGCTCCGATGGAGGTGGCGCTCTGACAGCCGTACAGAACACAGATGAAGAGCGACAGCAGCGGCCCGACTGCCTTCGCATACTCCCAATACACCTTCAGCTTCACCTGCAACACACACGCACTCACATTACACCGGTTCGTTTAGATGCATAACTAGCCTGGTGTAGGTCACCAAACTGAACGTCAACAGCACTTTCTGCAAATCTGGTAATAAGGCGTGAAACAAAGCATGAAAGTCAGTAAAAGCAGGTGAGTGACATTCAGAATATGTGCAATATGTTAAACTAGCAATTATATTTATTACCAGCCACTGGCTAATTATTTATTATCCCTATTTGCACAATGTAGGACAAGTCTAAATGCATTTCAAAACACCGCTTTTTGCAATTTTTTGCAGTCTGTCAGGATTTGTATTTATATATATCTGGCTGTGAAATCAGTTTTGTGTGGCTGTTGAGTTCTAGTCCTCCAGGAGAGGGCGGTCTGGAGTCACTAACCCGTCCCGTCTCAGTCGTCTCAGCCTGGATGAGCTTCTCCACCTTCAGCTCCTTCTTCTCACTCGGAGACTCCGGGTGTCTCCTCTCGCTGCAGCGCCGGCGCCGGGACATTTTCTTCGGGTTCTCCGGATCATTCGACATGATGCTCATCTGCCTACAAGAGACAGAACCCAAAACTCATGCACTCATATGAGAGATATTCAGATGATTATTTTGGACATGTATAAACCCCTGAAGATCATCATCTACCTCTTAAATGCAACAGTCACTTCCACATACTATTATGGAAGGCTGCTTTATAATTTAAAGCAGCTTTATTAATCCTCTAACATGCACGCATCTAAAGATGATGCTTATTTACAATCATTCGAAGAATAAACATAGCTGGCCATTAGCGTCCAACTGGCTTCTTTCTGTTCCACTGAATGTGATACTAAGTGGTTTTTAACTGGAAATACAACATGCAAATTGCATGAAGTTAAAAGCAGTGTTTGCCGAGAGCCACGTTTGGTAAAAGCAGACGTCACAAAGCCAAAGCAACTGGCAGAGCGAGAGGCATTACAAATGCATGATTACCTCATGAACTGTCTGCGCGCCTCGTTGACTACAGGCTCGTTATCCACCATATCTGTGTGATTACTGAGAGCATCGTCAGGAAACTCCTCCTCCTCCTCATCAACCAACAAATCTGAATGAAAGCAATAAATACAAATAAAATATAAATACTTAATAATACATATATAAAAATTAACGATTATATCTAAATAACTGAATAATAAACATTTTATATTATTTATTACAAATAGATAACTAATTTAATGCATATTTTATAATATATGAATGAATGAATGAGTATCTGAAAAACCATCAGGAGTCAAAGTGATAAAAACATATGTAAGATCAAAATGAAAGCAATAAATAATTACAAATAAATATAAAAAAATTACATCTAAATATATTAAATAATTTTTTATATGTGAATTATATATAAATGATAATATGCATTATAAACAAATAAATGTATGCACTTATAACATGTTATAAATTATCTAAATATATGATTAATATATATGTATTACAAATAAATAAAAATATATAAATTATAAATATTTAATATGTATTATAAACAAATAAATACTATCTAAATATATGAATAAGAAATATTTTATATGTATTACAAATACATAAATACAATTATATATATAAATATATAAATGATACATATTGAATAATATATTACAACTAAATAAAATAATATCTAAATAATAAATATTTTATAAGTATAAGTACTAATTATATAAATAATACATATATAATAATATGCATCATACATAATTTATATATTTAATTTTATATTATTATATTTAAAATAAATATATAATAAATAGTTTGTAATATGTATTGTAAATAAATAAATATTTATATAATCGTCTTCGATGATATCCTCGAGAGAGTAGTTTCTGAGGAACTCTGCAAAAGCTCCATTCTGTTTGAGCAGATCCTGATAGGAGCCCATTTCTGACACGCGCCCCTCCACCAGCACCAGGATGTTGTGCACCTGCGGCAGGAAGCTGATGCCGTGAGTCACCAGAATCCTGGTCTGCGAGAGACACGCCACATCGCTTTACCCTGCTCTGCTACATCACAAGACAACATTTCTGACCCTGGACCACAAAACCAGTCATAAGGGTCAATTTTTTAAAATCTGAAATTAATAAGCTTTCCATTGATGTATGATGGTTCGTTAGGATAGGACAATATTTGGCCGAGATACAACTATTTGAAAATCTGGAATCTGAGGGTGCAAAAA